TTTTCTGGTTGAGAAAATCATCGTCATTTTCCGCTCATCCGTTTTTCTTTTTTTTTCTTTTTTTTTTTTCTTCCCTAAAAATCTCCTTCCCCAATGTCTGTTCATTCCTGGTCTGTGCTTCTCCCTCCTCACACAAGATTACGCTGATCAGATCCGAAACTTGCAGAAGATAAAAGAGAAGCTTGAAAATGCATTAGAAAAACATCAGGATTGTACGTACTTTTCTTTCTCCTTTTTGTTTGTGTTGGGTTTTTTTTAAGTTAAAAACTGTTATGGTTGGAAGGAAACGGGTTTGATGTCCAGATGTTATAATAGTTTCCTTTCAAACTGTGCACCTCTAGGTTGCAATGAATAAGAACACAAGTTCTTGCCTTATTTACAGTATAAAAAGCAGCAGTAGTGTGTTGGGTGTTGAACAAAGCTATTTTTATACTCCTTTTGCCAAATCTGGGGCTAACGTACAGGAGAGACCTTTAAGTAACCCACAGCTTTGTTATAATTTGGTGAAGAGCAGTACTGCTGTCTGCTGTTAATTCTGGCAGTTGTCCAACGTGCGAGCAGTGAGAGGTAATGAGTGGCACAGCGTTACTGCTAAAGAGTCAGGATGGGGCTAATTAGCTGCAGAAGCAGCTCTCTAAAGTTATAAATAACTTATAGAAAACTGAGAAGCAGTTTTCAAAGCTGAGTTGTTAATGTCGTTGGTGGTTCTCTGTTGACAGCCTCCATGAGGAAGTTTCAGGAGCAGAATGAAGCTCACCAGGCCAGTCGAGCCAAGATGGCTGAAGGAATGGCTTTGGCCTTGGAAAAAAAGGACCAGGTAACAGCACTTGAACAGCTCCACCGTGGCGCTGTGTGGAGATCTGATCGTGGCCTTGATGGTCTGAGGTGTTGCCATTAATTAAAGTAGTTGTTTGACATCATGTATGCTTAGCGTGCCAACACTGCGGAGAGAAAGGGAGTACTAAGTTCAAATGCCAGATATGGTGCAGGACTTGTCATTGCTTTGACTGTCCTTGCTGTTTTTAAGAGAGCCCACAACAGTTTCTGAAGACAGGTTAAGCTTGGATTTGGTACGGTTCCATTGCAGTAAACCTGTTTTGTCACTTTTGTTTAATTTTACTTGCGTGAAGCTTACATGTTCAGGTGGCATAAGTGATTCCTCGGTGTTTATGTATTAAAACAGTGGCTGTTGCTTTTCTTTTGCTGCTTATTTTTTTAATCATTACCACAAGTTAGTAACTGTGTTAATGATACTAATGTTTTTGGTTTTACCATAGTATCCTTGAAAGTCTACAAATCGATTTTGATATATTTTTCTCTTGTCTGTCTTGTTCAGGAATGGATGGAAAAGCTGGGTCAAGTTGAAAAGGTAATGAACCTTTGGGGGTTTTCGGGTGGGTTTTTTGTGTGTGTGTATTTGTAAACAGTAGCCCGAACACTTCCTACAGCTCAGCTGTGTTCAGCCCTTTTTATTATTCGATCTTTGTGTAATGGGAAAGGCCAGAGATTTGCTCTCGTTACCATTTTTCAGTGGGGAAGTGAAGAATGATGGGTTATGATAAGAAAGATGTACTTCTGTAAGGTGGAACAGCAGTTTCCTTTGCAGAGGAGGCAGCTGGGATGCAGAAGGAGGGAGTGACTTTGTCTGAGGTCTTGCAGTAGGTCGTCTGTTTCACAAAAGAAATGAAACTATTTGGTAGGGATTTTTTTAGTGCAGTATTTCAGTCTAGCAGTTGTTTAGCTCAGTCTGTTTTAAAGTATCTGTGATTATGGAGACATTAAACATGCTGCTATTTCCTGTCTCTTTAATAGTTCAGTTAGGTGATCATTGGCTGCATTGTAATGAATACGGATTTTTTTGAGATTTTTGAAGTTCAGTATTTTGCTTCACATTGCTTGCTGCAAGATGAACGTGGAAGAATTTCTAGTTCTACGTGTGGCACCGTTAGAGAGCCTTATGGCTGCCAAACAAGATTCCTTTCCCAGAGAGTTTAACTAAACTCCCATTGACTTGAAATGAGCATACAGGTATTCCTGGATTCCTTTTGTTTTTGTTCGTTTGTCAGGAAAAAAAAATGCTTGAAACTCAGTTACGAGAAATGAGGGAGCAGAGTTTGAACCTTTTTCAAAAAAGAGATGAAATTGATGAACTGGAAGGCTTTCAGCAGCAGGAAATTGCCAAAGTTAAACACATGGTAAGATTATTTTAATTTGTTTTTTCCTTCTCTAAAATGTCTGTTGGAATACCAAGTCAGTGGTAGCTCTGCATTAATTTTTTTTAGCCTTAATTCTTGTATACAGTCTTGGTCAACATCAAAATCTTAACATTAGGCACATGCATGCAATATTACGTAGTTTATTTCAACAGTGACTTTTCTGGGAGTCATTTCATTTAATTGAATTCGTAACTTAATGAGAGAGACAAGTTTCCATGAGAAGACTTTATCAATATTGTCAGGTCACCTGTATTGTCAAAGATATTCTAATATTCAGCTTTTGAAAAAGGAAGAATCTCTGAGCAAAGCAGAGCAGGAACTGGAGGCGTGCACGCGAGAGCTGACCTGCACCAAAGAGGCGCTTCAGGACTCGAGCAGCGAGTTGTCAGGCCTGAGGAAAGATCTGCAGGAGCTGCAGCAGCAGTTCATGGAGCTGGAGGCACACAGGTACGGATGTGGTGGTTACTGAAGCACAGTGTATTAATTTCCCCTATACTTTTACTTTGTGCGTGCTTTTATCTTTTTGGAAGAGTTTATGTATGCAGTGAGCTGTCTGAATAATTGCTTCTAGTGTGCCAGTGTGGATGTAACTGTCACGTTTATATTTCCTTTCAAGCCAATTAAAGTAGTACTTGTTGAGGATTTTGTAAGCTTGTTACTAATTTTTTTTTTCATAGTTTGAATACTTAACTGTCATGTTTTTGGGAAAATGTATAGTCAAGCAGTGGCTGGTTTTAGGACAGGAAAATCTTGCTGATGCTGCCTAGTCCGTTTTCATGAGAAGAAGTAGTATGTCAAGATTCTTTTTCTGGAACAGTATGTCACTTTTTTTTTTTAATTCTCTTTTTGTGAAGAGATGAACTAATGACAGCTGAGATGAATGCAGAAGATAAGATCACTGCTCTGGAGTTAAGAGAACAGGAACTTCAAACTGTCATTCAGCAGCTTTCTGTAGACTTGCAAAATGTAAGTTTGAGTTAAGTGAGATTTGATTCAAAGAGCTCCTTCCTTGTCTGCTGAACTTAGATTAAATATCAGTTACGTGTTTTTGGAAATCTAAGTTTCAAAGCAAGTAACTTTTCAAAATTTCTAGGCTCGAGTTGCTGGTTCTGGTTGTGAGAAGAGACTGGAAATGTTACAGGTGGAGCATGATTCTCTGAAGGTGGAATATGAACAACACAAGCAAAAGGTTAAGTGTTTTGAGATGCATCTGCTCTTGGCTGGTGTAAAGGTGTATGCTTGGGTAACGCACTGTGAGTTTGGGACTTGGTGTCTAGAAAGTGTTTTAGGATCATTTTGTCTTTTCAAATTGGACTTTTTCTAGTAGAACTTTCTGAAGTCAAACCACAATGGATTAGCTGAAAGCTTCACACAAATAAGATTCTGTGATTTCTTGTTCTCACAGATGACTTTTGAATCTGCTGAGAGAAATAAACTTACTGAACAGCTGCAGGAAAAAGTGTTTTCCTTGGAAAAGAAGCTTGAAAGAAATCTTTCAGGGGATGAACATCTGCAGGAGTTACTCAAGGAGGTAATCACACATATATAGGCTGCTTAAAAGTGCAATTAGTGAGATTTTTTTAGGGCATACATTACTTATTGCACATGGAAAGAATATATAATGATGTAATGCAGGCACATTTGTCCCTTTGGTGTATGTTGGCATGCTGTCTGTGCTGGACAGAATTGTGCAGGTGGCTACACTGAGCCTTTTTATGTAGATACTGCACAGGTGTCTATTGGTCTTTCTGCATTGTCCATTCAGGCAATGCATCTGACTGCTTAGAAGAAAAAAAAGTGGCTTTTTGATGTCTCTGCAGGAGGCAGAACAACTTGAGAGCTGCTTTGGTTAATCCTTACAGAGAACAGTGCACACTTTTCCTTGTTCTTCATCTTCTGTTATCACAATTATCAAACAGAACTGTTCCATTTTAGTTTGAGATTATTACTGAAATATAAAGCAAAATCTTAATTTAAAAAAAACACCCTGATCTCTTTGTCCATCCTTCTTGTTCTTCATCTCTACGTAATCATCAGAAAGCTGCTCTTGAGCAGAAACTGGATGAAACCAGGCAGCAGGTACTGACAGACAGAACACATCATGCTGAGACTGTGACCCGGTTGGAAACACAGGTAAGTTAGGTTTTTGCTTTGTTTTGTTCACTACAAATTCCCACTTTTTGCAGCCTCTTTACACCCTATACCTCCTCCTCTCACTGCACTTGTCACTCACAGCCTCAGTCTTTGAGACTGTCACACGTTATGTTTAGTGGTGGAGAGAGGCCTGGAGGTTATGTAGTTAGAGATTTCATGCATATCTTTCCTATCATAAGATACAAATAGCTGAAGTGCAGGCATTGCTGGGGGTAGTGGTGTGGTGAAGAGCTTGTGAAAGCAGCATGTGTCAAGTAGGCAGTCTCTCTGAACTATGTAGTTTTATGGTTTTAATGTTTACGTTCCCCTACTGGGTCATCCCACATTCTCTACATTTCTTCTATTAATGTGGATGACAATGGATAAGGAATTTTATGTATGGTTGTATTTTAGAATAAAGAACTGGAACAGAAACTGGAGATTGCAACAGAAGCATTGAAAAAGAGCAAAGAAGCAGCTGCTGAGCAGGATCTGGAGATGAAGAAGCTGGTGAGTGTGCTGCATGATGTTTCATTGACCAGTGACAGACTCGTCTTCAGCATCCCCAGAGACACTCATTTCTTTGTGTTTATGTCATTACTCAAGTGCTTTCTTGCTCTTTGTCTCCTAAACTTGTGTCTGTATATGAGTACGTGACACTCCTGCCACAGGAATAGTGTTGCTTCAGTTTGAGTCTCATGGAATGGTGTCCAATTCTTGCAAGAGTTTCAAAATACCGTTTTATTAACGCAGTGTTCTTGATTTCTCTTAAGCAAACTGATGTAGAGGATGAGAGAAGTAAACTACAGCAACAGCTTTTGAGTGAGAAACATCAGTACGATCAGAAGGTTACTGGGCTGGAGTCTCAGATTGCTGCTCTTCAAACAGCTTGGGAATTGGATAAAACAGCCACTCAGCACAGGATTGTAAGTACAGAAACTGTTCAGTGGGTCATGTGAGTCTTCACAAAATGATTTTAACATTGCTTGTAGACCTTGCATGTTGCCTGAATGTTCTTAGTCAGTGCTCCTAGCATTGTAATAGATCTCTTACTTAGAGAAACTGAATATGAACAAATCATTTGATGTGCTTAATTGTTTAAACAATGCATTAGAATAGTTGTACTTAGCACTCAAGCAATCTTTATTTTACAGAGCCAGTTGGAAAAGGAAAATGAAAATCTTAATGTCAGCAGAGAAGAGTATGAGAGCTCTTTAAAAAAACAAGAATCTGAATTGAACAGGCTAAAGGTAAGGGCTTAACTGGTTAATGACGCTGGTTAAATACAGAGCCTAGTTTGAGAAACAGTTAACGGCAAAGTGTATTATATTCTCAGTACTTGGAGTCACCTATACAGCTGTAAAACATCTTTGGTACTCGGTAGAAATGCGTTGGAGGAGCATTACAAATGGCTGATCCTTTTCTGAAACGGGATGCTTGAGTCTGTCGAAGTCAGGCAGAAGTAATACATTCCTGTACTGTCAGGCATGAAGAGCTTTTAAATCCTGTTAGCAGTAATGAATACAGAATCATTCAACATCCAATTCCACTCATAGCATTCAAAACAGAAGTTAAAAACTTAAGTTGGTCAGGTATTTACAGCTCATACTCAGTCTTTTGACTGTAATTGTAGATTGCTGAAAGTTTGGGGTTGTTTTTTTTTCTTCTGTAGTTACTCTTAGATGCACAATTGGATTAAAGAACAGTTGTAGGAAGGAGCCACTTCTTTGTCATAGAAACTTCAAGCTGAAAGATCTTTTAAGCATTGGATATGTTTTGCCTCTTACATCAGTTCTGTGTGGTTCTTGCATGTGCAGACAGCAGCAGTGCAGTAAACCAAAACAGTAACTCTCATTTGGAAGTTAAGAAGTTAGAAGTGCAAGTGTTAGAACACCCGTAAATTCTAGCTGCTAATGGATTTGGGTTTAAAGATGACAGACTGACTTGATTTTAGTTGTCAAGTAACCTCGGAATTACTTTTGGTTTGCAGAATGAATTGAGCAGCAGAGAGACTGTCAGTGTTGAAATTGCCAAAGCATTGGAAGAAACACGAAAACAAAGAGAGGAGTTACAACAGCAGGTTGGTTACTACCGACGGTCTAAAATACGTTTGGATGCTCCCAGCCTTTCCATACCAGACTAGATCTGGACTTAATTATCAAAACAGTCAGAAGCATTAATCGGAATCATGTCCTTAGCATGCAAGACAGCAGTAGTTGCCTTAGTAAACTTGAAACAAATGTAAATGCCTGCACAAGAACGTAATCAACTTACTTGAGTTATTCCATTGGAAGAATGTAAAATGCTGCTGACTGCAGGTTAAGGATATTCCTAAGTTTGTAGGGTCAAGAGTTCTGGCAAGTTGTGGTAGTTGAATATGAACAACTGAGGGGAGGACTAGGTGGCAGCAAGTGAATGCATTTGCTCAGGATGAAGGTGACTGATACTTCAGAGCCCTTAAAATCCATAGGATGGTATGGAGTGCCTGTGGGCCAGCCATCCTGAGCCACTGACTAGTGGGCAGTTTGCTTTGAAGAGGCTGTTCATTCTGTTGCTGTTCCATTCTGTTGCTGTTCCCTTCAGTGTTTATATCACACCTTTGCCTGCTGAAGCACAGCACTTCTAAAATAGTAAATTTCCTGGTAGGGAAGAGGATACAGGAGGCTGTATCTAGTAACCAAATGTAAATTCTGGGTAGTCTTGTTTTGCCCTTCCATTGTTAAAAATGGTCATGGTGGGTAATGTGAGCTTGTGTTTGCTTAAGCTGGGAACTGCCAACTGAGCAAGCTTGACTGAATTTAGGCCCACATTTTGGTTTCTTTGTTCTTCCGGGACTGTTGCAGATCTGTGCTTGTTTGCTCCAGCTGTATGTGAAAGGGCTGTAAAGGTGATCTTCGGTGTTGCTCGGCAGTGGAGTGGTTCTGCAGCTGCCACCTGCTGGGTGTGAGGCGATCTGTAATTGCACAGTTCACCAGAGGCAAAGTGTGGTTTAGCTCCTGCAGCACATTAGTGCTCTTTGATGAGGTCAGCATCCTAGAGGTGATGCGTTATGTGAGTCGATGGATAGCTCAGACATCCACGGTGTATTATCTGTAATGCTAATGCTGTGCAAACCACTTTTTCAGGGTGTTGTATTGCCTAGCACAGAGCACAGGCAGCCCCAGTCAGCTATAGATACCAGCTGCTGCCTTTGTCAGAGACAGAAATTCTCCAGTCCTTCCAACAACAACAGAATAAACTGTACCTCTGAGCTATGCTGAAATTTTCAGTGCCCTCTTCTAGTTTCATATCTTTAACGACTTCTGTTTGCTTGTTTGCCTGCTTTGAAGGTTTCGGATCTGGCTTCTTTAGTAAAGGAGAAAGACCAGCTGATTGATGAAAAATGTGGTATGCTTCTCAAACAGAAGGAAGAACTAAACCAACTCAGTCAAGGTTAGATCAAACAAGTCTACTTTATCTCTTTGTTAAAGAAAGCTTTACGTTAAGACAGCTTTATCTAGGTACAGTCTCTAGTTCTGGGCTTGTCTGTCTGTAGATCGTAATAATTCTAGATTTCTTGTCTGTGTTTAATCTATTAGAATTTTCAAAATCTTGTATCCTTCAGTAATAATTGGACAGTGTGTCTGCTGTGTCCTTAGAAACAACCACCTTTTTTATCAAGGTCTTATGTTTATACACCATAAAAGAACAGATTTTGCTGTACTTTTTGTAAATTACTGTTTTGCACAAAACACAGGAAATAAATGATGCAGCTCAAAGCCTGCTCCTTCACTGCATCACTTCAAAAACTGCACTTGTTTGAAACGTTATTTACATTCTTAAAGAGCAGCTGCAAACCAGTATTCCACAGTCACACTAAAAAATGAAGGGCTGCTGTCTTCATTCATTTCCTAACCCCTCTCTGTGTTTCTCTTGTGTGTTGCCATCATTTAGAAAGGGAGCAGAGCCATAGCCTCTTGCTGCACATCCCATTGGCTGGCCCTGTGTCGTAGTCGTTTGTGCCAGTTTGGGTTTGCAGCTCAGCCCTAGGTGTGCACAAGTAACATGGACTTTTGATGGGTGTCTTTCAGAGCAGGTGTAATTGGTAATTACATTGTTAAGTATTAAAATCACCCTGACTTTTGGACAGTGAGGCTGCTCCTTTGCAAAAACATGTGCTTGAGCTTGGGTGGCTTGAATTCCATTGTCTTTCTGTATTTATGACAGAGAAAGGCAAAACAATCAGGATTTACTGTCACTGTAAGTTGCTTCGTTTAAGAAAAATAATTTAACTCCCATTTGATTCAGTAGACTGATACTAAGCAGGTCTCTCCTTTCTCAGACCATGAAGCTGTCCTGCTGCAAATGCATCAGTTGCGATCTGACATAGAAGCTAGTAAGAGCCAAGCAGCGGAGAGGGAAGAAACTGCAAGAAAGGAAATCAGTGAACTGAAGTTGCAGATACAGGAGTGCCTGTTGGCCAAAGAACATGAGAAAAATGTGAGTGCAGCTGCACATCTCATCTGTTCTCCTCGGGAAAATGAGCAGGTGTGCAAGAGACCCCACTTCTGTCGCGCCTGGTGACACGTGCTTGGAGCTGTTTACTTTGACAACTTGCTTGTGACCTGCAACACCAGCAGTGTAGACCACCATTATTTGTCGTTCCCTGTCTTCCAAAAGGAAGCTGTTTCCTGTCAGATCTGTGACTGGTTTATGAAAGGCAACCCCTTATTTTATTTGATTCATGAAATGTCTTGAGAATCATTATGAAACCAGTGAGACAGAGACCAAAGAAGGAAGCAGGTCAGTGAGAGATGTAGCCAGCTAGATTGCCACTTATGCACCACCACCACGCCCCCACACCAAAAAGAAGTCTGGCTTTCTTCCTGGGAGTGTTCATAGGCTGAAAATGTCATGATATCTCTCCAGTTCACTCTTTAATTTTTATAGGTTTCAGAATTAGAGGAATCGACAAGAGACTTGAACAAGAATTTACATTCTCCAGAAAACTGTGTGGTGGAACAGAACGGAGAGGTAGCAACTGCAGACGTCGTTCAACTTCAGAAGGTTAACAGAGAGCTGGAACAGCAAGTTGCTGAGAAAAACAAGGTGAACTGAAACAGCAAAACCAGCTGTTAGTCTTTCCCCTTTTAATTAAGGAAGCCTGATAATTGGTGCTGCCCATGCCGTGGCCTTAGAAGGACAGGCTTACCAATTTGGCAGATACAATTTGAATCCAGTATTTTGGGGGTAATTTTTTTTCTCTCTGGATTGTACAAGGATCTAGCAACAGTGGATAAAATTGTGGGAATCCTTACCTATTTTAGAGGAAAGATGCACCAAATGATACTGTTTACAGCTTTCCTGCAGAGCTCTTTTGTGTGAATTCAGTTCACTTCCACTTGGAAGGCAAGATGTTCAGGTTGCTTCTTCAGAGCTGTCAACACTGTTCGGTGATTGTTTCATTCATTAGACTTGTTTATTGTGGATTTTTCGAGATATCTGTGGGTCAAAATATGTCGTGACCATGAGTACTGTATTAACACTATCTTCTGTTCTGCTTACAGATGATAAAGCAGCTTCAGCAAAGAATGACAGAACTTAAGAAAACCCTCCAGAAAGAGCTGGTAAGGGTTATGTTTTTTCAGTCTCCTCAGCTGCCGCTTACCAGCAGTTACTTGCACTGCTAATTCCAAAAGCTTGACTGGTAGCTACAGCATATATATTTTTTTTTTTACTAGGGATGTGTGCAGTTTCTGTGTTTGCAGGCAGATTGGTGAACCCTTGAATTAAGGAATTATGTTATCCTGGATTGTTTATTGAATGCCCAGGTTGTGCCCACCTTGTGGATGTGGTGTTGGGTATCTTGGACCCAGATCTTCTCCCAGTGTCAAGCTGCCAGAGTTTATCAATGTACTTCTTTTTCTGTTTTTCAGAAAATAAGGCCTGACAGTGAGGTACCTGAATTACGTGAAAAAGCAAATTCTGAAGTGCCTAATGCTGCTGTGACTGTCACAAACAACTCTGATCTAAATGACTCAAGAGAGATAAACTTTGAGTACCTTAAACACGTTGTACTAAAATTCATGTCCTGCCGGGAATCAGAGGTAAAGATGTGCACTTACCTTTTCTGCCAAGTCTGGCTTTCTCTAGAAACTGCCACCTCTTGCCTGTTAAGGACACGTCTATGCCAGTTCCATACTTTTACACTTAAAAAGCTGTTGACTGATTCAGCACAATGAAGTGAAATAGCTAGCAGTGATATGTTTGGAAGCACAGATTATTGTGAAAGGGAAATGCGAGGTTTTTAAGAGGTAGTTATGTCTGGAAGTTAAAAGGACTGAAACTACAGGACGCTCACTCTCCACTACTCCTAAAAGCACATGGAGTTGGTAGAGTGGTTGTTCATTTAAGGAAGATGGCAAAAAAACCAAACCAAAACAAAGAAAAAACCACCAACAAAGAAAAAGACATAAACCACTTGCCCTTGATCTGTAAGGTAATGCCTTGTGCATGTGGAGCTCCTTCACATTCTCCACGTGGTGACATTAAAGTTAAAAAAGTCATGCCAACAATATGCTTGGCTTCATTGCAAGTCACCAGGTAGGACCAAGAAATAATTGTGTGGCTCTGTGGTGTCCTGAACAGAAAGCCAGGAAACACAAACAGCAGAAATAAGATGCAGACCATCAGTGGGTAATGGGAGGCTGCTGGTCTGTTCTTTGCAGTTGTGACTAAAAAGTCGGTGACCAAACCTACAGAAAAACTGCTGCAGCACAGGCCAGAATGGAGAGCATGAGAACATCGTAAGCAACAAAATACTGTGGTTTCTTTCAGGCGTTCCATCTAATTAAAGCTGTATCTGTGTTACTGAATTTTTCACAAGAGGAAGAAAACATGCTTAAAGAAACGTTGGAGTACAAGGTAAGGGTTCTATTCCACTTGCAGTCTTTAAGGGGGCTCTCACCAGGCAGAATGAAGTCTTAAATTTGTGAACTCTGCAGCATTCTGTCCTATAAATAGTTCTTTGAATCAAATGGTGGGGACATGCATATGTACCATATTCTTTCTCAAGTATTTGGCTTCTTAGAATTGTGAACCTCGCATAATAAGTGTTTTGCTTTCCTGTCCTAGATGTCATGGTTTGGGTCAAAGCCATCTCCTAAAGGCAGTATCCGGCCGTCTATCTCGAGCCCAAGGACGCTGTGGCCTTAAGGGAATCTGAAAATAGGCAGTCGGCATCAGCCACTTTTTTCTATGAAAAGAATGCTGAACACACTGATTCAGGTGTCTTAATCACTGTCATTGCAGTATTTTGTACAAGAACTTCTGACACTGTTTGCAAAACTAATACTGTGCAAGGAGAAACTTTCACTACAAGCTGAAACACCTCTTCGGGTTGGACCCGGGGACCGTGGTCTCGATACAAGTCAGCTCCTTGTGCTCATCGGCTGTGATTTCTCGGCACCAAAGGGTCATGGTAACCTCACTAACACCGGTGCTGGCGGTTTGAGCTTCTAACTTGTGCATCTCCTAGGAAGGTGATCGCAGCTTCTGTGGTGGAGTGCTGGAGTCGAGGGGCTCCAGGCACAGGAAGGCTTCCTTGTCTCGCTGGGGAAAGCAAGCAATGAAAAACAAACGTTGGCAGTACTGCCTTGAGTTTTTTGAAGAGCCTTTCAAAGAACAGGAGCAGGAGCTTTAACCAAAAAAGAAATCTGCCTTGCCTTGTTATACTGACCTAACTAATAGTTCGCATTTGTTCATATCACTGTGTAATTTAAGGTGCGTATATCCTGGCCTGCAGTCCTGAAGGCTGCACGTTGATGACGATTATTTAATTTGAGAGCACAACTTTAGAGTTGTCTGATTTTACTTTTCTTAAAGAAAAATAATATTTAATATGGTCTTAATTCTAGTACCTAATACTCAAGTCGCCTTTACAACTAATCCATTAGCCTGTACCGTGAGTTGTTAGCGTTGGGACAAAGGAGTAGCAAACCATTTTAAACTTTTAAAGCTGAATTCCAGATATTGTAAGTGCACACTGAGAATACCTTTTATTTAAAAAACAAAGACCTAGTGACAAAGGGTGAAGAATATTGGTACTAAACACTTTGATTTTCATTTTCTTTCTTCCAAGTCTGCTAGCAACAAATCTTTGTAACGAGTATCCGCCTCTTTGGTTGTGGTTTTCTGTACTTCAGATACTGATGCTTAAAAACTGTTATGAACATGCAGTGGGGCTGTTAACTGTGTCCTAACCACATCATGAAAGAAACGCTGCTTATGAGGGGTTTGTTTCTGAGGGCAAAATTCTTGGATCCAGCAGCTTGCTTTCCTTCTCCCTTAAGAAAATGGGAGCAAGGTGGCACTCTCCTCACAGCGTGGAAGCAGTTTTGCCTGGTTACTAACACTGCTGTGAAATGCAGATGAAAATGGCAAACAGCAGCAATAAGTCTGACTTCTTAAAAATGGGACAGACTTTTCAAGAAACTACGTATGTATGGCATTCAGTGAGCAGGCTGCAATTCTGGTAATTCTCTTACAATGAGATCTGTGTTACAAATGAGACTTTTATTAAATACATTCAAGAAAATTCAAGCTGTCCTCTAGTGGAGATACAGTCACTGTCCAGGCTTTTCTCGCAGGGTCCGAGTGGCTTTGGTGGTGGTGGCAGCTGCGATGGAGCTCGGAGCCACAGCCCAGGAGCTGCTCCACGCCGGAGCGAGCCCTCCCCAGAGTGGTAACTGTGCTGCCCTCCCTGGTTCTGTTCAGCAGCCGCATCCCTGACACAGGCGCTCGCAGGAGCCGTTACCTTGGTGCAAGTGGCACTCCTCAGTTCAGAGCTAGGTTATGTTTGTTTAAAGTTAAGAAAACCAACAGGATTTTTTTTAGTACACTAAATCTTGTCCAAATGCAGTCTTTAGTACCCTTATTCATGGCACTTAATGATAGTCTGGGGAAGTTCATGGGAAGGGTACAACTGTTCTAACAGGAAAACAGACAATCAAAAAAAATAGCAATTGCTCCTGTACTAAAACAAAGCAGGGGCAGCATAACCCTGATGGTTCTAGGAAGATTTTATCCTCTAAAGTCTTTGTGTAGAATGGCCCTTTGCTCTGGCCTCTTTCTGTGGGGCCTGAGGCCAGAGCCAGGACAGCTGATGCCTGCCGAGTGACTTAATGGGTTTGTGTGGATGCTGGCTTGGAAGGTTACAGCTGGACAGCAACAGCTGGACAGCAACAGCTGGACAGGCAGCCCGCAGCAGCGACTGACAACAGTCTTAGATTACATATTCACTAACACAACTTCAGTGTGAGATCCCAAAGCTCATGTGGGATCACCTTTCCATAAACTAGCTCGTAAGTGTTGAATTTTCTTTAGGTATCAGAGCAAGAATGGTGTGTATACATGTATTTAAAAGCTAATGCACTTTCCCTTGTATAAAGTGGTATACATAATCCTTTCTATGGCTGTTGGATTTCTTTCCTTCTACGCTGTAAATATGGATTGTATTATGAAACACTATGAACTTTGTGGTGCAATACATTTTCGATCAAAACCCCAATCTTGATTTCTTTCTATGTATAGTTCTGGTTACCTCCCCTGGGATGCTGTAACTGTTTATAACCTAGAGAATGTTAAAGCATGAAACAAACCCCACCTCCAGCCCATGGTGCGAATGGGTGTCAGCCACGTACCTGAGGCAGAGTGCTCTCATCAGGGACAGCTGCTGATAAAACCACATGAACAGAGCAGGGTCTCCCAGAGCAGCTGCTTTACTTGGACTGCACTCAGCTGGGCCTCCTTGATCCACTAATACATTAAGAAGTATTTTCTTGACTTCAGAGGATGAACAAGAATATAAAAAACCAACCTGTGGGTGATGATGTCTGATATTCACTGCATCTCAGAAGCCTTGGCTGGAACAGCTGAGCTTGGTGTCCCTCCCTACAGCCAGCCCAATTCTTGGAGTACATAGTTGGGAGTTAAGAGCACTTATACGAAAGTGGACACTTAGCTGTTGCAGTCTGCTTTTGAACAAGTGCCAGACTTGGATTTGGCAAAAAATTAATTACTGAACTTGTGATCCAAGAACTTTATTGACGCAGCAGGCACTTTACAATGACACCAGCCCCACAGTCCAGTTCGCCCTTTGGCCACGTGTACAGAACCACCCTTCCAACAAGCGCTTCTCCCACCCAGGAGCTGTCGGGATTTTGCATCTGTTAAGGTCACAGCTACCTCTTAAGCAGCACACACAGGATCTTTTATCACCACACTTCGTAAAGCAGCATCTGAAATTACCCATTCACATGCAGTAAGAGGAGGCAGGCGTGTGCCTTCTCTCTGCCTTTTAAAGAAGGAGCAGGAGGATGTCTCTGCTCCTGCATTTGATAGTCAGAATATGCAGGAATACCTTTACTCTTCCCCACCTTTAAGGTCAAAAGCATCCCAAGAGGAGGTTTCCATGGTATTTCAGTAGATTGTGATCTCTAATAAAGAAGGACCTGTGTAATTTCAGCCAATTCCTTCTGCCGAGTCCAAACCCGATCATCTTCTTGGTTCCAGTTCACAGTCATTTAAAGAGTCTTTCTTGCTGTGAGGACTCTCACTATGGAACCCAGTCCACCCACTGCTAATGCCTGTGGGATGGGAAAAGGAGAGCAGTTACACAGAGTGCCTGCCAGCCACTGCATCACACACAAAGGCGTCTTAAAAGCATAAACAAACAAGTGTTCAACAGCAGGGGACTGCATGGCTCTGCTCCAAAAACTTACTTTTCACACCTAGTCAGTTTGCGCTGGTCTACGCGGGTTTTTTTTTTCCTCTCAGATCATTAAAGGAGTTAATTGGGGAAAATGTGTTTTCTGCAGCACATGCAGACGTCTAAGTCGTTTTGTTTAGGTACTGAACCGCACCGTGCAGCATCAGATCCCCACGCTGACCCCGTGTCAGGGAAGGAAATGAGTCGGACGCAGCCCGGCAGGTATTGCAGGGTGTGAAACGAGACCAACGCTCCACTGCGTGAGTCACTGCACTGGCGTCAGGAAACACAGGGACACAAAGCCTCTTCTCGGAGCTGAACCTGCGCGCACTGCACACGTCCCCAGGTGACCAAACACGGCACGCGTGGGACAACAGCCCTTTTCCAGAGGACAGACTGGCACTACCACTGAGCAGCTGGCGCCTCTCTAAGCAAGCCACACGCCTTTCTGGTTGTGCCAAAAAGCAGCACGCAAGTGAGGGTTCAAACCCTGCCCAGCCCCGCCCTGTTCCTTTAGAAGTGGAGGGCGAGACGCTTTCTGTGCGCCTACGTGCTCTGAGCTGTCACCTTTCCAGTCAGGGTGGTGTTGGGCAATGCCACACACTGGGAGCACCCATCCATGGGTACCTGAAAACAGCCTCCAGTGGAAGAAACAGAAAAAAGAGAAGAAAAAAGAAAAATCAAGCAGAAACATGTTCTTTGCTGTCCTGAGAAGTTCCCTCCTCCCCTGTCAAGGCTCTGCAAAGCCGGTGACAGCTGCCACTCTGTGCCATAAGTTCTGGCTTTACCCATCACAGGAGAAAACACATCCCTTGTGAGGACAACGCTGATGCTGGCAGCAGGCTGCACCAGGAGCTGCAGTATTCCTGGGGATCGTTTTGCCTAGGAGGAGCATGGGCAGGCAGTGCTGCCACCAAGACATCGTTTGGCTCAGATTCCTGCCTGGGGCAGTGGCACCAAGCAGCTGCTTCACTTCACTTGAAGTGCCTCACCCTGTCGCAGAGCACATCCTACCCCTGTCTCACAACAGTTGTCCCACAGGATCACGAGAGGACCGCTCTGGATCCCAGAGGAACCTTTCTGGAGATCACAGAAGCCTCTCCTGCACAAACTGAACAGGTTTGCTAACCGCTGTTATTAAGCTGTGACACATACGTTGCTGGCAGCCCACAGCTCACAAGAACTGCCAGGGCCAGCCCCAGCACCCCCTTGGCTGCCAAGATCCCTGCCAGCTGCACCCAGCGACCAGCCACACCTCCACCCCCCTTGTCCTCCTCCCTGGGGCCACCACACTCATCAGACACAGCCCCAGCCAGAGCTTTCCCCAGCTGACGCTGCCCTGCCCCAGGTCTCGCCTCTCTCCCAGCTGAGCTCTGACACAGGCAAAGGCCGAACAAGTCCCCACTCAGAGACCAAGACAAAGGAAACACTCATCACCACTCTCGTT